ATTGGTAAAATATGATCTTTTTAGACTGCTCCGCTGTCAGGATCCACTGACAAATTGAGCAAAAGTTGCACTTCTCATGCAGCCAGCTTTAGTAAACGATTTCTTGTCACCAGTCTTCCAATCATCCCACCAAACTCGGAGTGCCGCATTAATGCATGATTCACACTTATTTCGAGTGGCTGCAAATACTTCATTGTGCCCCCAGGGAGGGAGGAAATTAAGTCCCTCGTCCCCACTCCTCACTGTGACTTGTTTGATAATTCCATTCATCATATTTATTCATTTTTTTAACCTTTATTTAAACAGTTAGTTTTAGTCTCATTTAGTCAAGTCAAGTCATGATCCCCCACCCACCAAGAGACATGTGTATTGGGCAGCTATGTGAGTGCCTGGGTGTGATGAGGCTAAATGTTTAAGTGGCATGAAGTTCTTTTGCCCGTCTCCCAAAAAATCCACAAATTAGTGGCAGCATTGTATAAGCTGCGGCATTCAAAGCGTGTGTAAAAAATGTAGCGGCTTATAGTCTGGAAATTACGGTAGGTACCATCAACAGAAGTTACTTTAATCAGCTCAGACACACTTCCTTGTTTGCAGACTGCTCTTCACAGCATCTCTAATTCTCAGGTGGAGACAGTCAAGGAGGAACATCTCCTCTCAATAATTTTAATTTCATTATTCTACCTTGAGCCCTAGATCTAAAATAATAATAATAATTAGACCAAAAGCTAAAATGAAATTTTAGCTCCTGGCAAAAAAAAAAAAAGGCCCCGGTTGCTTTTGGTCCGGAAAAATGAATTCCTTTCATTAGTAACAGTTTCTCTGCATAATTAAAATAAAGTATCCTCATTTGAAAGTAATTTAGAATTTACTAAGTGCAATGCTAATTATGATAACCTAGAGAGTTAATTTGTTGCAAAGAAAGGGGCATTATTCGACCACTGAATCAGTCCAGCCGAGAACTCCAAAACGACCCAAACCATGTTTTCATGCCATCACCCTTCTTTGCGGCCCACTTGTAGAACTCTTATTCTTTCGTCTTCATCTCGTTTAGCCATCTTCCCATCACACTCCACAGCCTTCAGCCTTCATTCTTAGTGTCATGAAGACATGCTTTTTAGAGGCTCTATATAAAGGAACCCAATTATCCAAACTTGCAGACTATGTCAGTCCAATCCACCCCACCCCTCAGCAAAGATCACCGTGTGGAGCTTCTTCTGCTCTCTATCAACCTTTCGTCCTCCTTCTAACATCCTATTCTTCCTGCAGTTCAGCACTGATCACCATCCGTCGTTTTTACCCTTGCCTTCTGCTTTTCTTCAGTCTACATCTCCCTTTCCACCCACACTCTCATCTTCTTTGAAACATTTACGTCTTTTAGCAGACTGTGATGCCGTTCAGTGCTCTCAGGACTGAGAGTTGCATTAGAACACGAGAGCCGTCGACACATGAGCTCAGAACATACACGTGACTGGTGTCTGATTCTGACAGAGCTCGTACAAATCCAGAAGACCAACCTCATGCTAACTCACAGCATCAGCACTGCCTCAGTAATCACACACAATGTACACGTGCACGATAATACCCCATACAACAAGACACACATAAGCACATGCTACCAAACATGTTAGTTTTGTTTAATTCATGCACATTCTTTGAAATACTTTCCCTTAGTATTTAAGAGATTGACAAAAAATAGAACATAGAATGAGCTGAGTACCTGGTGGGGGGTTGAAACCATATTTGCATCACATCCTACTGCCTCTCGTACTCGCATGACGGGGTTGTAAACCTTTGAACTCGACATTCGGTTCTTTGAAATGGAGGGAACAGTCAAACTGGTTATACAAGATGAGTATGTCACTGTTGTAGTACTGGTTTGATATAGTTTGGTTCAAAACTGCATAGTACGCTGAGACTGATAGAAATTGGTACACTGAGTGATTTCATACTTGGGGCTGACAACGTTTTTTGTGGATAGTGAAGTCCTGTTTTATAGGAACAAAAATATCTAAAAATAAATGTTTCTTTTGTATCTGCTCCACATGTGTGACTGCTTATGTCAGGCTTCATATTGCCTCAAATCCAACAGAAACACATTTCACTGTGCATTTATGCGAATATTTGCTGGTGCGCCTACCTGCATCTGTTTGCTTAATGTGCACTTCATTCATAAACACTGTGACAGGACTTTTCTAGGGGCTTGATACAGTACGCACAGAGAGCCCATTGTTGAGTAGCCACAGGCTGCTGCTCACACATCAGACAGTACGGGAATCAGAGTCTGACACCAATTATGCAGAAACGGCGGGACTCGTTGCTTAAACCGACATATCAGTGGGTTGCTGTTTCCCCTCCACATCATCTATAGCTCAAGGCTCTCTGAGTGCATGTGGGGAATGCAATGCAAAGGATATACAGAGATTTCTGTCAGTATGACTGGACATTTTATCATTGAGCTCACAATTTATTTATTTAATTTTATTTTTTACTGATTTATAATCATCTATCCCAAGGCTCAGGACAACACCTTAGACAAGGTTCAGCTGTACAGACAAAATTAAGTGTTGTCTACGTATCAGAATGACTTTATTGTGCTTTTTATCTTTGATTTTAAATAGAATCATTAAACATAGAAGACTGTCAATATTTTGTTTCTTTTAGTACTAGCAATCATCTGTGTAGTTTTATATTAAAACTCTGCTTTTAATAACTTGTCAAATATCAGTTTATTTTAAAGAACCAAATATATCAAGATACTTTTTTTTGTAATGAAGCTTTTTAATGAGCAAAGTGTACCTTATACAATGGTGAAGGCTTGTTAGACAAACTGGGTGTTAAAGGTTAATTTGCGTTGTCATTTTTTTAACAAAGTATTTTATTTTGAACATGTCCTAAATACAGCATTTTTATATATATTTTGCTAATTAATTATTATTATTATTATTAATATTATTTACAATTTTTAAAGCCTCAAATCTTTAATTTACTTAAAATTTCTATAAAAAAATAGTTTTTTTTTGTTTGTTTCTGCTGAGAGGTCTTTAAATGCTGCTTACTATAACACACACACACACACACATACATATATACATATATATAAATATATATAAATATATATATATATATATATACATATATATAAATATATATATATAATTTTTATAAATATATTACATTTGTAAAAATATATATTCTGTGTATATGGAGGAGTGGTGGCACAGAGGTTAGAGTAGGCGAGCCTGTGATCAGAACCGACATCAAAATGTGGGTGTGGAAGGTAAAACACCCACACCTGCCTCCACCCTCGTTTGCTACCATCTCAGTCCTTGAGAAAGGCCCTTAACACCCCATCTGCTCCCCCAGGTGCCCTAGATAGCATATCTCTGCTCCACACAAGGCTCTGGTAGCTCGGTGGTCTGTGGTTGCATCAGGAAGAGCTTCCGGCGTAAAAACAATTGCCAAGTCTTCGTGCACGTTAGTTTGCTGTTGCAGCCCCTGATGAAGGGAGCAGCCGAATGGAAAACTAAAACAAAATAAATGAAAATGTCTCTAGAATAAAGCTTTTTTGACCTTTTTTATTTTCTGAAACATTCTTATGCTTGCTCATATTTTAATCTCCAAGTAATATATGATGATGAATCTATAGCTTTTAGAACAGCACACGTGTACAGACCAACACATCCTTTCACATCTATTGGAACACCAGCTGGCTGACAGCTGTCTAAGCCTTAAAACTGAAGAAGAGATATTTTGACGGCATCTTCATTTTGGCATCTAGTCTGAGACTTTGAAATGCTGCTGTGGAACCGCCACAGAACATTTTGGATCCATCAACTGTGATTCACCTCATAATGTTAATTTCCATCTTTTGTACTCGATCGTTTGTCTCCAATTATCTTCATTCTTCCCCTTCTATGAGATTTTTGTCTTTGAGTCATCATTAAGTGTATTTTTTAGAAATTGTGACTTTTTTAGTCTTTTGTTTTGTTTATTGTACATTTAATTTGAACTCATTGTAAAACAAAAAATCTCTTAAAATGACATGAGGTTTGTTTTAACTACCGTACTTGCCACCGTACACATCGCACAGTCATATAAGTTGCATCAATATGTCAAATAAAGTGTGTGTGTGTGTGTGTGTGTGGGGGGGGGGATATGTTCCTTCGCCATATAAGTTACATCTATTATACGTCACCACTGATGCTTTGCGTTTGTTACGCATCACCGCTGACCACCCGGAAACATGGTCCAGTGTTGTGCCAAAACTTGATTGGCTGCCATATGGTGGCCGCGGGAACGTGCACAGAGAGAATAAAAATAAATAAAATAAAATTAGCAAGATTAACAGTTAAAAAACATTATTTGTTTGCTCAAAATTACAGCAAAGGTGTGTCTCAGTTTAACTTTTCCTTAATAAATGCACTTTATTGGTCAAATCAGTTGCATTTCACCTGGGCGACGCGGTGAAATGCAGCTGATTTGACGTTTGCTGCAGGAGTTCTGGAGCGAGACGAAGTTGGATTTGTATGGCAAGCCAAGCGTCTCATTAATAGCCAATTTTACCTATTAATGAGACACTTGGCTTGCCATATTACTCGAGCGCCATCTAGGAGCTGAAAATGGTAGTGCTCACTATTTTCCATGTCAGAATGAATGAAACTGTCAGATCTCAGTCAAAAATGTGGTTATAAATATGGAAGAAAATAAAAAAAAATACATAAATAAGTCACTTTGCTGTATAAGTCGCAGGGCATGCTAACTTATGCAAAAAGGCGTGACTTATACAGCAAAAAAATATGGTACATCTATTAGGAGTCAGATATGTTAATTCTTATGGTCTCTAAAGAGGAAAAACATATTTTAATCTGTAGCTTTCTGTAAAGTTGAATTCTTAGCAAGAACAAAAAAAAAAAAAAGGTGATATTTAAAGCCTTATCACAAAGAGTCCCAACTATAAGCAGTCAGTTTCTAAAGCGTTTTGTTCTGGTATCTTTTATCAGTCTGCACTTCCTGGTTTTCCACACGGAGGAAGTCCATGATGTACTTCGGATCTGGGACGGTCCCCAGGATGGAGGGGTCCTGCTGAGGGAGCTGAGTGGTTCAGCGCTGCCCCCGGACGCTCACAGCACCTTCAATACTGTCACTATGCAGTTCACCACAGACTTCTTCACCAGCAAGCAAGGCTTCGCTCTGCAGTTTTCTGGTGAGAAACAGAGCACAGAGATGACAATGGATGTGGAAATGTTGAATGATGACAATAACATTTTTATTTTGCAAATGCTGGTTGTTTTAAGTTGTTTCGCTAATCAAGAGTTCAATTTCTCGTTTAGTTTCTACTGCAACCTCCTGCAATGACCCCGGCATGCCAACTAATGGCACCCGCAGTGGTGACAGCAAGGAGCCCGGGGATCATGTGGCGTTCCAGTGTGATCCTGGTTACATCCTGCAGGGGGCCAACAGAATCACCTGCACGGAGATCAATGGTCGCTTCTTCTGGCAGCCTGACCCCCCAACATGCTCAGGTGTGTGAACAATGTAGCATGCAACCATTACCAGTGCTTAAAATCCACATAATTAGCATCAGCACTTCTCCTAGAGAACATTTATTAATATTACTGAGCAACAGTACCTGTGCAGTGTGGGTACTTTTACTAAAAACATATATTTGAATAAAAAAAAATGCATTGGCTGTATTGATTTTATAACATATTGCATACAGTGTCGTTTTTCCTGGTCATTGTACTAAATTCACAACAGAGATGTTATTCTGTTTGTCAGTAAGAAGGCTCAGCTCTCAGACTTTTACTTATGTTGTACTTTTTACATCTAAAAAAAATCACTTGCTCTAAAAACAACAAAAAAACAACAACTATTGGTCCTTGTGATTATCTGACATGTTTATTCATCATTAGTTTATTATAATAATTTATGCGTGAAGTATTGGACAGTGCCACAAGTGAAGGAATGTCTCAATTATCTTTGTCTGGTGTTACAATTCCCTGTTGTCTTACACGCTTCCAGTTTAAAATATGTCATCCAATGGACAGTTGGACTAGAGATTCATATTTTTTTTGTAACATATAGGAAAAATAAAATCAGCTTCTTATCCTCATACACAGTAAGTGCTGCACAGTGCTAAATATATCTAAATTAACAATCCCATTTTACTTTCATCATGTTGTGATTTTTTTTTTTTTTTTAATTCTTGCTTTTGGTGATTACTCTAAATTTTAATTAAAAGTTATAAGCTTTAATTGAATTCAAAATGAAATGAAAATAAATTTGGCATTTATGTTTTATAGGCTTTTGTCTAACATTTCATATCCATAAATAAACTGTTTAAATAAAATAAATACTTTTTTATTTCCAGACTGAAGATAAAAAAATACAAGAAAAATCTTTTTTTTTTTTTACTAGCTACCTATATCATTAAAGGTAACTTTTACAAATAAAATAAACTGTTATCATGTTTAAGGATTAGTGTACAAAAACTGTATTTATGTGTATATAATAACAAATACACAGATACTGACTAACGGTGAGGCCCATAGTTTATGAAGGCTGTTTTATGTGATGGGGAAACCTTTAAATATGAACCACTGGTGTTTAAATCATCTCGACTATTAGCTGCTTTCTCAGTGTTTAGTTTTTTTTCTTGCTAACTTTAACAAAACCTACAGTTTTACCTTAATTAGACTGAAAATGTGTGTAAGTGATGAATGTGTGTCTACTGTTCGTGGCTAAATAGCCAACAAAGGAATAGCTGAATCATTCAACAGTTTCATTTATTTGTTTTGTATTGTCTTTTTTTTTTAATTATAGCTCCATGTGGTGGGAACCTAACAGGTTCGAGTGGGCTGATTCTATCTCCAGACTACCCTGAACCATACCCTCATGGAAGGGAGTGTGACTGGAGGGTCACCGTCACACAGGACTATGTCATCTCTCTCAACTTCAATCAGTAAGTTTCATTTCAAATTAAAACAAAAATCTAAATAGCAAATATTTGGATTATTTTGTAATAATGTGTCCGTTTTCAAACAGGTTCAGCTTGGAGCCCAGTTATGACTTCTTGCACATCTACGATGGGCCAGACTCCCTTAGCCCCTTGTTGGGTAGTTTTTATGGAGCCGATGTTCCAGATCACATCGAGAGCAGCTCCAACACGCTCTTCTTGGCCTTCCGCAGTGATGCTTCCCTCAGCAGTAATGGATTTGTGCTGCAGTACACAGGTACACACTTTTGTTTAAAGGCTAATTGGACAGAACTATGATCCTGACGGTCTGTGTCTCACTGAGCTGTTCATCTCTGGTGTCTGTCGATTCCTAAAACTGTGAAATTTAAAAAGGATGTGTGGTTTTAATCCTCAAACAATTCATGTCTTATGTTCCTCTTCAGGCAGAGGGATAACGGATTAACCCTCTGCTGCTTAGTGACCTTGATTCTTTTTTTTTTTTTTGGCCCACTTATCCAAATAGTCCGATTTGTAGAGTGAAAAATGCTTTGGTGAAATAAAGTAATTTGTGCTGCAGCACCCTGATCACTTCCCTCCTGTGCATGCCACGGTCTGCCCGGGCGTTGTTATTGATGCGTACAACCTCTAGTAGCCTACTAACACAAAGAAATATGAAAATGAAATGCTGACAGCATGCATAGTTAAGCTCTTTTTGATCAGCCACACAAAAGGCGTCTGATGAATTAAAGCAAACGGCATTATGTTGTCTCATGTCAGAGCTCAGCTGACCGCAGCACAATGCTTGGAAGATCCAAATTTATGTGCTCACGTAAAGCGGAATGACCACAGGCGTTCTTGATAAAGGGCCAGTTGTTTGTGCATAGCACATCAATATTTTCCACATTTGCTTTGTTTAATTCTTGTGTAGAGTCACCTCCGCAGCTGCAAATACCGTCTCCCTCTAAAAATACAGATGCTGAACAAGCTTGAAATTAGACAGGGCGTCTTTATTAGGGTCTTTCTTGCTTGAGGGAACAGTATTAAATCTTCCTAAATCTCTACGCCTCAATTAGAGCTGTTTAAGATATTAGACGTTTAACCGATTCCAAATCGACCCTGAGCTCCCTGTTTCTTGGCTGAAGCTCGGATTGGATTTGATCTATACACACAATTGAACGAATATCAGAATGCTACCTGCTTGTGCAACACAGCACGGCAATTAGTTTTTGGCCTGTATATAAATGGTGTAAAATGGTCATTAAGGAAGACAGAGTTACAGAGTTTGCCCCTTAACTCACTCGCAGTGATATTTACAGCAGCGTGCGATGCTGTGTGTGATCTTGTACGGACAATCTGGAGGAGCAGATGGACTCAGTGTGATTCTCTGAAAAACTCTTTCACCCCACTTCCAATTCTCCACACTAATGAACCATAACCAAATAATACATAAATTACCTCCTCAGCTTCAGACAAACAACGTGGCACAAAGGCATGTTTGCCTGTGGGCTTGGGTTCATTTTGGAGAGGATGCAGCAAGTTGACAAGTTGGCTCAGCTGGCGCTTGGTCAGCCTGCCACTGAAAATTTTATCATGAATTACGCTCAAAACATTGTCCGCCTCTTTACAGATAAGTCACACAAACAGTACTGTGCTCCAATGCAAACACTGCACCCACACTTTATCTTCCCAACAATAATAAAATCCCAAAGGCCTTCTCAAACATAAGTGCTTTTGTATAATTATCTGCCTAATCCAATGTTTTTATTGAATCTAAAGCTGGATTTTATTTCACATTATGTCCTTGGAGTGTATTTCAAATGATGCTACGGATGATGACTTTTACCTCTTTACCCACATACAAACGTCTCAAACATGAGGTTTGTTAAATTCACTTGTTTTCACTGCAACCACTGATCAGCATTTATCGTGGACCCACTGTTTCTCTCCAGCTGTGCCACCTTTTTTTCAGGAGACAGAAAGGGATAATTCAGGTCAAAATCTGCCAAAAGTCTGCAATAAGTGTCCTGAGTGAGAGAATGTACGCCCATCCTCAACCCTCTTCAAACTCTAAACTGCAGCTTCCCGTTTAGTCAGATGGTTCCCAGCTGGGTGCTTCCAAACTCCATCAATAACTGGGCATCTGAAATGTAATTTCTCAAACTGTGTAATGAACGGGATTAACAAAATGTGTGTTGAAGTGAATGCATTTGTTTGTAAAACTGAAAATTTGCCTGATGATACACAAAAGTAATTTTAGTTAGGTGATTATTTATGCAGATCTGTTGGAAAATAAGAACTATATATGGTGTAGTTTAAATGTAATACCTTTACAGTAAAACATTTTTTTTTTGTCAAATGTTTCTTACAAAGTATAATCTTCTGCTGAAAAGCAAAGACGTAAAATAATGTTGCTTATTGGCCTGTGTGTGTGTGTGAGAGAGAGAAAGTGTTTTAGTTTGTGTGCATATATTTCACCAGAATATCTCATGGACTACTAGACAATACATATTAAACCATGCATAAAGTAATCACTGACTGTGCATATATTACTGCCTAATTTTTGGCAACAACCTAATTCAAGATGACCACCACTGTCACAGTGGCAGGAGATTTTGCACTGCAGAAAGACACAAAAAGCTAAAAAATAATAATAACATGCATATATATATATATATATATATATAAATATTAGAACAAAACAAACATCTGACATGGCAGTCATATTGCATTGATCTTAGGAGGATCTCAATGAGCATGAGGAGAAGCATGTACTGTGTCATCAAGCTACACAATGCTTTACTGAAATGGAGATAGAACCTGACTGAATATATGGGCTGGAACCAGTGAGGAGATGGGAGACAGCTGTGACTGAGGGAACGGGGGACAGGTGGAGATGGGCATGGCAGACTGGTAGAGAAAGTAATGAGTGAATAGGCTGGTGGCCCAGAGAAATGCAGGAGAACTACAACATAAACAAAAAAATGATAAAGTAAATAAACACAAGACTCATGAAACAAACAAACAAACAAAAAAATCCTAAAAATAAAACTATACAGACAAACAAACAAATACATGAAAAGAAAACACATTTCTTGACAACAATAACTATTACAACTACTTACCAATACAAAAATAGGCTTTATCTCGATCACACTGACACCTATGTATAATAATAATAATAATACATTTTATTTCAGGGTGCCTTTCAAAAACCCAAGGTCACCTTACAAAAACAATTAAAATCAGAAATTAATAAAAACAGAATCAACAAATAATTAAAACAAGTCACGGTAAAGCAACACTTAAAACAAAGTTAAAGAAACGTGTTATGTTAGTAAACATTACATGTGATCATAGCTGAGAGCCAATCCCAACTCGTACTCTGCACAGTTTTTTGCAATATTGCATGGGATTACACATAACAACATTGTCAAGGTTTGACCAAAACAGCTACATCTTTTTTTTAAATTTCTCAATATTAGGTGAGTTTCGTTTCAATCTTTGGCATGTAGACATTTTCCTGACAAGCAGAAACATTTGACTAGCCTTCCCCTTATTGTGTCAAGTCACCAGATATTAAAGTTGGCTCTGAAAAAAACAAGTGCAATCTGTTTAAGAATCAACTAAATGGCTTTGGGCATTTTTCTTATGTTTATTTTAGCTGTAAGGGTGTGAAGTACACCAAATTGACAGGTTGCATCTCCCATGCACATTTTCTGCCTAGAACAATGTGATGGTAAATTGACTGAGACATCTTGCTTACGACCTCAGGGGTGGTGATTGATATGTGGTTAGATCTAGAGTGTGAGAGTGAAGTTTAGCAGGAAAGGTAGTCTAACAAAGAAAGCTTGCGTATGTGCATCGTCTTCTCGACTTGACTGCAGAGAGAAGTGTTGTCTGAGAGGCGGTTGTGTACAGTCAGCAGACCTTGAGCCAGAGCCATGCCACTTTCAATCAGCTGCCTGTCTGTTTCCACAACCATCTATACCCTGGTAGCCACAGATGAGAGGCCACCATCAAGGGCTAGAGAGAAAAGTGGCAGTCATTGAGATATATTCACTGAAACGGGAAAGCACAGAGTTGCAGGAAACAAAGGAAAGGGAAAAAAACACAGCCACACGTTGAGGAAAGAAGGAAAGACATTAGACATCTAAGAAGATATATAACTTGGGGCACAAAAGGTTTTATCATCATCACTGCTGCAGCTTGATGCAAAAAATATCCTGTTTTATTGAATATCACACACTTCCATCTGTCAGTGATTTTCCGCTGTTTTCCCTCTCTCCATAGAAAACCCTAGGGAGTCTTGCTTCGAACCTGGTCTGGTGCGTAATGGGACCCGGGTGGGCACAGACCTCAAGCTGGGCTCCATCGTCACTTACCACTGCGATAGTGGCTACACACTGGAGGGAGACGCAACGCTCACTTGTATCATGGGGGGAGATGGCAAGCCGAGCTGGAACAAACCCAAACCCATCTGCATTGGTAAACACTGACATCTGGAGTCGATACTTAGGAGCACAAACCATATCAGTGCTTATAGATTTATCACATGTAAACATCCATAGATAATTATGTTGCTTCTCCACAGAGATATGTCCCACAGGTATGCATATTTCTAGAGCTGTGTGGGGTTCTTTTTTTTTTGTTGTTGCTGTTTCTTCCAAGATCAACGTGTGAAGCTTTAATTTAATCTGCAGTTTGGAAGAAGCAGCTTACTTTGCATATCTTCCTCTCACACTCACTGCGACTCCTGCGTCACTCCGGCTCTGTTCTCCAATATTCCTTATGACACAGCTATCGCATGCTGTGCATAAACCCCTGGAACACTGGTAAAGGGTACCTGACAGCACAGACTCTGGATTTCACTGTGTGTCAGGTAGAAGACATGTTCATTGTTCGCAAAAGTAAAATTCACATACAAAGTACATAGGTTCAGCAGTTCCACAAAGATCTGAGCTTGATCAGAGAATTTTCAGGGGTTTAAACTAAGAGGGGAGACTCTAGTCTCATCACAGCCAGACTAACCCATATGGACACTTGGAAAACATGGCAATTTCAGTGTGGCAACCACCAGGGACATCTCCCATCCAAAGCCCAATCAGACAAGAAAAGTAATTCTGGAGTGATGGAACAGAGGAGATGGAGAAGTAGGAGACCAAGAAATAGATTTGGCCACTGTTGACTTTAGCCCTTCCTTTTGTGTCTGCCTTGTCTTACTTATAGTGTCTCTCTCTGTGTTTCATCACTGTTCGTTTTTGCAGCTCTATGCGGTGGGCAGTACTCCGGTTTAGAGGGAGTGGTTTTGTCTCCTGGTTACCCTGGCAACTACAGCAGCTCTCGAACCTGTTTGTACTCTGTAGTTGTGCCGAAGGATTATGGTAAGCCATGGACAAGCAAAATATTAATTGTGATTCTGTGTGTGTGAATGTGTAAAACGGGGTATAATCTATTTGTTTTAAATTAAATTACTCTACAACCCATAGTAATCTTTTATCAAGAGGAAACTGCTCAAGAGCCTCTTTAAATTATCCGATGATTTCCACTTCTGAAAGTTAAAAATACTTTATTATATTTGTTCTGATTGGCATGTAGACATGAACAACTAGGTATAAACTGAAGAGTGAAATGTTAAAAGCTCCCACACCCATTACCGTTTTGTTTCTAATTAAACTATTATTCCAGGGAGGTTGATCTAATCCATATTTTGTATGTTTTTTTAGCGCAGCGTAAAAAAAAAATCACATAATGACTGACAGACACAGATCCCTCTGACTCGTATCTATACATTTTTGCATCAGTTTGGATGAGGAATTTAATCACCGGCTTGCACACTAGGTATGAAATATGCTGTAAACACACACACACATAAAGGCAGGAAAATAATTGCTGCCTGGAGGATCCATGGTTTCCTTGGGTTTTATTACTTTTTGGCATTTTCATCTTAAAGGTCACAATTTGCTTCCAATATCTTATCTGATTTCACAGAAACATCTAATTATTTAGGATGGGAAACACATCAGAATTGTGAGGCAGCTCAAATGTGTGAATTCAAAAACATATTTCTCTTACTAGCATGCAGCATCATTGCCACTAGGCACTCATCCTCTCACATCACAAATGTTTCTTGTCAACAATCTCTATCTTTCCCACTCAAAAATGTAGATGCTGTGACAGCAATGTAAGTTAAGGCTGCATCTTCTCCCATCCCTGGAAAGTCTTAGAATTGGCACATTACACTCACCACAACAGCTAACTAGCTGCCAACAGTGGCAGCTCAGTGAGATACTATTGTAGCCTCTTGTTTTTAATGAGTAATCAGCATCTTTCCTCCTTTGGGAAAGTACTTGTCTTGGTTAAATTACACCAAAAGTAACTGTTTGTGTATGGCTTTGGTGTACTTAATCTCATTTATATTTTTAAAATGTTGAGACTCATGTTTCATCAAAAGGTCCAGTGCTGTTCCCAAACAACTGGCCGCACACTTTCACGTGTACCCCGTTAGCGTATCTCACTTTAAAGAAGTCATTTTGAGAAAAAAGAAACTGAAATAAATAAAACCCACATTTGCATTTTGCTGGATAATGACAGCGAAGCCCAAAGCAGCTCACTTTGTCGTGCAGAGCCACTAACACGTGCACACACAATCTTCTGTCTTCATTCTTCTCGTCAGGCTGATGCACCAGACCGATGACAGGCTCTTTCACTCGGTGCAGAGGACAGGATGAGTGTCACTGTGACCAAAGGTTTTTCAATCATAGGCGCAGATGAAAGAAATATACAAAAAAAAACCTCAAAAAACATCTGAACTCAGCAAGAATTTACAGATTCTACGTCTTGTTGAATGAATATGATTTCTCACTATCACACCTAATAACAGAATAACGCTTAACCACTGTCCGTTACGCATGTGTAGTATGACGATCCTTATTTTAAACAGCAGCATTTGCCACAATTAAACAAGACATAGAGTGACTATGAAAGGGATGACTACTGTTCAAGTAATTCCAGTTAAAACGGTGTGTTGAAAGGATGAAAGCCCCATATTGGAGTTTTAGCTACACGTCGTACAACAGATTGGCTGTCATTGCAAAGCCTTTCATCTCCTGACAGGCCATCAAGGCTCGACAGGATTCTTGATCTCCGTTGTTATATCAGTTTTTGGTTGTGTTGTTATAACTGGCAGCACAAGCCGCCCTGCTTTAAAGAGGACATCTTGATTGAAATCGATTCTGATCATTTTCCTTTGATTGAGGAATCCAGGGAATAGAGTTTTGTGGATTTCTGCGAGAGCTTCCTTTGCAACCAGAATTTTAAGCTTCTTTCATATTTATGACCACTTTTTGTCCATGTCTGGTTTTTTTTCTAGTGGTCTTCAGTCAATTTGCCTTCTTCCAAACTGCTCTGAATGACATAGTGGAGGTTTATGATGGAGCCACACAGCATTCCCGGGTTCTTAGCTCACTGTCTGGAGCTCACACAGGTAATTAAACACAAATCAGTGCCGTCATCAATATAAGCAGACGCTGTATTTTAAACTAAACCTCGTTATATTAGAGGGGTGTTTCTTTTTGCGTCTGCTTGCAGGTTATCAATCAAAGTAAGCAGTACCATTATTGCACTAAAACAGTTTATTCTGTTCTGTATACCTACATTTAAAAACTGTGTATAATCAATTTTGGCAAAAAAACAAAAGGACAAAATATTGCTGATAAGATTCCCCTATACATGTTTAATTTGTGAAGGAGTTATAAAAAAATTATAAAAAAAAGTCCTTCAGTATTATTTAGACTTGCCATAGTAAATTAAATCTATTGACATGAATCTGCAGGTATGAAATTAATGACTTATTTTTATTTTATGCTGAGCATCAGCTTGTACTATATACATAAATCTGATTTAGGTTCTATGATCTTCTGACCATTATTTCTGACATAACATGGGGGGTGAAATAAAACAGTGTTTTGTCCTTATCACCTATAAGGAGGCTAATAAACTGTGGGGCATATTGCTGACACAGGCAAAGCTGCAGGTGGGCTCCACTGAACTGTAACACACTTTGGTTGTAACACGGGAATAACACATCTGCAGACCGGGAAACTGGCAAGCGTATACACCTGATTTAATACGCCCATGACTCCGCTCATTAAATATGCATAGAAGTCATGTTTACAGACTTTTCATCTGGCAGCTGTTGGTTCATGCATTGAGTCACTGAAATGGTGGGATACATCGTTAGCTTATCAAATATTATGAAATGTAGCTTTAAAGAATGGCGAAACGTCTCAGCTTAATTCCTTTAAATTTAATTTTAAAAATGTTTTCTTCAGGTGCACAACAGGTTGTTGGGGAAAAAAAACAAACTTCTTCTCACATTCCAATATTCACACAATTGGCTGATTGATGGATGAGCTACACGATCGGCATGGAATTATTATTTAAAACATTTTATTTAGCACCTGCTGCACCTGTGTGCAACCCACAGCTGAAGGAGAAGCGTCCTCCTGCACCATGTCATATCTCTGCTCTGCAGCAGAGAAGTGGGCTTGGTCAAGAGCACAGGCAGATGACAGAGAGCAGCCAAAGGCAGATAGCTGAAACCATGACATTCTGTGCTCTTTTAGAGCATTTAGAGTTTAGA